AAAATGCATTAAAAAAAGAATATTGATATACTTCAGATTCAAGTCTGTTTCAATAGCAGGAGTTAAAACTTTATAGTATGGTAAGTTCATTTGCAGCTAAAACTACTTCTAATCAAACACACTATGTAACATGTTCGGTATTTCTGTAAGGCAAATTCCAACTTTACTCACAAATATGCCAGACGCTCCCAAGGCCAATGCTTTGAAGACATCAGTGCCCCTACGAACACCGCCATCAAGAAAAACAGGGACGCGGCCCTGTGCAGCTTTGACAACCTGAATCGAGCAATTGAGTAACCATAAGTTCTGCCTGATATGTCAGAACTTTGGAAAATGTAGTTTGCTGATGCTGTAATAATGTGCATTGTTGAATGATGCATGCTTAGTACTGAATCATGAACATGTGCATAAACTAAGACATGATAAGACTGTTCCTCTGCAATGTGAATGTGGATGGATGCATGCAATAATGGAGCCAGGGGGGCAGAGGGTAGCCATTGCCCCATGCCCCCCACCCCAAAAAGGCCTTTCACGAACATACCTATGTACAATATAGGTTTCTTTCCATTTACTCCCACAAATCTTTCATATTTAAAGTAGTTCCCAACCCTTCATACTTTGAAATTTGTTCCCTAAATCTTTGAATAGATTTAAAATCCCTTGTTATATTTAACTCCCAAATTGTTAACAACAGGTGAGTGGTTAATGAGGAACGGGTAATTACTGAATTACCAAATCAACCAAAATCAATATGAAAATAAACCAAAATCAAGTTCGAAATCAGTGGATCATTTCAGTCTATTATCATATAATCATCTCTAATGTGTGCTCTAACGAAGTTTATTTTAGAATTTGTATGGGTTGCACAAAAAAAATTGAATATGACGAATTATTCCCTCAATTTTAACAAGCTTCTATTACGACTAATTTCAAATTACTTAAAAGATATGGAGGATTAATATGGAAAAACCTTATATATTTACAGATATCATACTTTCATGTAATTTTATTTGCATCTCAAGCAGAATAGGAACATGGTGTTTCAATTTCCATGTATTATTGCGTTTAATATTACAACAATGACATGCGTTTATATTTTCATGTGGTTTTACAATTTGTGATGGAATTATGAATGGGTTCTTTCATTTGTCACGTTTTTAATATGAAACTTTAGCAAATTGAAGCATGTTGATTCAACGATAGGTGCATATGTTAAAATGATATAAGTAACAAAAATAATTTTTGTAAAACTTTTATGTTAGATTCTTCTTCACCGACTTACATATTGAAACTTTATAACATGTTGCCAAATTTGATCAATTTTTTAATGCATGATCATTGCATTTTGGACCTCATCTGGGGGGGGGGGTAATCTTGGCTCATTGGATGCATGTAACTCTGAGCAGATGTCCAAGTATGTTGACAGCATTGAGAATTTGATACTTTTAGATTATAAAGTTACGACTCTCAACCCTCAATAAGTTTAAGATGGTGTCAAAGTAGCCCAGATGGCCAGATCGAAACTCCACCAGACATGCATTTTTAGCGGATTTGAACCCTTGATCTGCGGAAGCATGCCCAGGCATAACATCACCTATTTGTCATAAGAATATAGCCTTCAACGCTCAACTCAACATCAGAGTTTTGGTGTAGTGGAAGGAACCTCTGACACTCTCACTCTCAACCCTCACCAGAACTTTAGACTTTTGATATAGTCGAAATGACAAAAATCCTGTATAAATGCTACGATTTCTTTCCTTTAGGCCAGGACCAAACAAGCATCAGGTTACATACTCATGCATAAAGCATGTGAGGTCTTGTCTATAGGAAGCCATAACAGAATAATAGTATGAAGATGGAAGTAAAGATAAGAAAACTTACCTCTTCAAGTGCACTAATAGTTGCAGGAACATAATCCAGCTGACGAGCTCCATGGTTAGACACTATTATACCAGCTGCTCCGGCCTGTATGGCCAACCTTGCTGCATTAATGTAAGTTAGCACAGTTGAGTAGTTGTTTACGATTTTTGAAAAACAACAAGAATGAGGAAAACTGAATGAGGACTGGTGCTCACTGTCTTCCGCAGTCATTACTCCCTTCACCAGAATCGGCATGGTTGTAATTGTCTGCAGCCACTTGACATCCTGCCAGATAAATGGCATACATTCTTCTCATTAAAGAAATAAAACATGTGAGAAGTGTGCAACGTGTGGTGCTAGCAATGCAGCATATGAGTTGGCATGGGTGCGATTGTATTACAGAAAATATCAATATGCGACATATGAGACACAGCCGACATAATAAAGTGGAGATGCATGTGTCCCTAAATTCTCACTGTGTAAAGAAGAGAATGTAGCTTATGAATAATGTTAAGAAAAAAATCAATGTTCAGCACCAACATGGCTCCTCGAACAATCGATAATCCACTAATATTCAAAGGTTTCTCCAAGTTTCAGATTGCATTCATCAATGACTTCACAATTTAGTTGGATTCTAAGAAAAGAAAAAGGTGCCCATTAAACCAATTTTGAAGTTTGTAAAGGCATTGCATTGCTCAATTATGTTTCTGAAGTGTGAAAAGTAAAGGGGTATCTATTATCTAATAACATATATGTATACATAAACACACACATACATACATCATCGATAATTAGTGCATATGATGTTGATATGTATGTATGTATATTTTCATTTCTTACATCTCATTTAATGTTATAAAAGGTTCACGTTGGAACTATAAACAAAAAAAAAATTATATGATCATAAGTATAAAAGAAAGATTCTAAAATACCTTCCAGCTCAGAGACCTGTCAATTTGACCAGCAACATATGATGCCAGACCAGAGTCATCAGCCTGAATGATACAACAAATAATTTAGAACATAAATAACACTGAAGATATTACCTTCGTAGTGCAAAAACCAGTTATTCACCTTGTCCATCTTCCCAAGGTTCAAGCCTTCAAAGTTCTTCAGGGTTAGAAACGGAGGCAATGTAAATCTGTGCAACAATACACGAAAAGGGATTCAAGTTCTTGAAAAGATGGGGCTTTCAAAATCAAAATTTACAGCTTGTGTTAAGATGAGTGCTTGTCAAGTTGGATTCAGACAGCAAGTCCTTGTCCATTTAATATCCTTGCATTTGTGTAACTATCCCGATACCTACGCGGTTCATTGATTTAAGCCTAGTTCTCTAAGATTTTTAATGAACAAGGTCTGGGCCAAGGAATCTTCAAGAGTGATCAGCCATTTGTCATTTTTTTTATCAAAGAGGATTTTATTTATAGCAACATCAGGATGATTAAAGTGAAGAAACGCCTGTAGAGGACTATTGGACAGCAAAACATATATTTTGTGACTCTAGAATACTTACGAAGCCAAGGAAAAAAGATCATAAAATAGCTATATAACCAGCAAGGATATATAAATTTGAACATCCAGAAATTAATAGGCAAACAGAATATTGTAGAGATTATGATACTGATGCATGACAATGCAATAGCAAATAGAACAAGAAACCATATTTCCAAGAAATTAATGGAGACTCAAATAGACCCGAATTACTTAACCAAACAAAACATGTTCCTTGCCACAGAGCTGGATTATAAAAATAAAAAATAAAAATAAAAATAAAAACTAGAGTCGTGTAGATGTCCGAAAGTTGTGGTTTAAGATTGTGGTTCACGCTTTTAATTTAGGTTAACTTATTTCAAAACAAGAATAAGACATGTATATAGTTTTAAGGTTAGTTCTCCTCTTGATCAAATTGAACATGAATTTGTTAAGCAAACACCTGTTCTTAATGTCTGCCTCCCTACGACCGAGCCTGGGAGTATCCACTGTGAGAGCGATTGCCTTGAAGCCAGCCCTCTCAGCTCTTCTGACAAGCTGAGCTACTACATTCCTGTCCTTATAAACCTGAAATTTATAAGCTATAGGTGGTAAGAGGAGAACTAAACCCTGGTTAATTTTGACAAAGATATTGATAATGAAATATGAATATTTATCAAATCTAAAAAATAATTTACTTACGTAAAGCTGGAAAAAGCGGATGCCTGGACCAGTGGAGGCAACCTCTTCAACACTAGAAGTAGCCCATGAAGACAAAGTCTAGAAAAAGAAAAGGCACAAGTTGCAGTGCAGTCATGAAAATATGAAAATTAGAAATTTATTCAAATAATAACTGAACTTGAATTCTTGATAAGAATAAATTGACAAGCATGGGAAATATGTAGCTAGATGATTTTGGAGAAATCACGTAAATAATTTATGATGGTATGTTGAAAGAGCCATTATAGAAGAATACCAGTATCCTAACCTCTGTATTTCTTCATTTAACATCATTCAAATGTCAGAGGGCCTCAAACCTAAAGTGCCAACTCCTAAGCTCCCAAAAGAAAATGAACAGAAAAGATTTTAAAACACGCACCCACCCACCCATGCACACGCACGCACGCATGCCCGTAAAGAAACGAGTGAGGCTTGAATGATATCTGTTCTTGTGATCCAAAGAACAGGAGGCACATTTTCTTTTTGTATCCACTTACAATCTAATCCGGTGGCATACATGGGTGCATTTCTGAGTGTTCTTAGGCCTAGGTGTATTTTGTTAAGGGGTTAATTGGTTCGTTTCCTTCATTTTCCAAAAACGATTTTCCTTTCACTTTTTTGTGTTTCCTTCACTTTCATGAAAAATATTTTTTGTGTTTGTTTCGCCAAAAAATATGGGTTGAAAGTACTTTCCACCACTTTTCTTAGTTTGGTTCAACTTGAAAAAAGAAGAAAACAATTGATGTGTGAATAGATTCCCTCACTTTCTAGTGTTTGGTTCAAATGAAAAAAAATAAAAAACCATGACTATGGTCACCATGGTATGCTTACCACCCGTATAGGATAAATTTATTTTTAATATAAATTGAGAGGTGAACATATACCAACCGTCACATAAAAATATTTAAATTTTTAAGGGACTAATTTGCAATTTCTAAAAAAGATTTGAGGTAGTGATTTGCAAAATATTTAAAGATTTGAGGGGCTAATTTTCAAAATATGAACAGTTGAATAGCTTGAGCAGGTTGCTTCACAAGTACTTGGTGGGCCCCATACTTGCCCATGCCACTCATTTGTGTGTAGAGCCTTCACAATTTTGAACAAGCACCTGCTCGCTTCCGCAATAACTGGTGGGCCCCACAATCACGCGTGCCTGTCATTCGTACAATTTGTCGAGCTTTCCAACCATTTCCGTATTTTTAGAGCGGAAATGGGAAGCTCTCATCTCTCCTACGTGGAGCAATTTTCCTACGACTTTTTCCCCTTCTTACTTCTCCAACCAAACCCATGAAACGAAACAAAAAAAAGCTGAAAGTTGACAGGTACAGATGGTGAAAATCGTTTTCAAGGGGCTGTTTTTGTGAACCAAACAGCCCCTAAAAGGAAATTAGAACTATTATGCTAACTGATCCTATACATATGGTTCACCTCAGAATGTAGCTTAAAATGTAGCCCTATATACATGAATTTATTCCAATAACAATATAACATTTTCTTTTAAAAAAATATTAGGCACTGGCTGTGGGTAACTTGTTTCATTAATAATCTTATTAAAGAAAAGGGTTAATTTTTTCCACCTTTTACTCAAAAAAATAAAAAAAATAAAAAGAAAAAAGAAAAAGAAAGAAAAAAGGGGGAAAAAAGAAAACTATACAGCATTAGCGAAGCACTCTTGTTAAAAGAAAAACTCATTATAATCACAGAGAAAAGAGAAATCTGCCACGTGATTCATTCTCATAATAATTTTAACATATGCCTAGATAAGGCTTAATTGCACTTAAATACCCTATAGTTTCCATATGATGCACTTATTTACCTTAACTTGTGTTTGGTAGCACTTATATACCCTTAAGTTTTTAAAAACTCACTTATATACCTTCACGTGTTTTTGGCCGCACTTATATACCCGAAAGTTTTTAAAACATTGTCCTAAATACCCTAAAGCTTTTAAAACTAACACTTAAATACCCTAAAGTTTTTAAAACTTGCACTTAAACACCCTCATTTATGCAAACTTAATGGCTATTTAAGTGCAAGTTTTAAAATCCCTAGGGGTATATAACTGCTGCCAAAATAAATAGGGCATATAATTATTGCCAAAACAAGTGAGGGTATATAAGTGCAAAGTAGGGGAAACTATAGGCTATTTAAGTGCAATTAATCCTATAGATAAACTATAATATTTGTTCACATAGTATGATGTGTTCTTACACAGATCACCCTCGATTTTGTTTTATTGCCCCTTCTGAACAAATTCTACTCCGGCTACAACGTGTCAATCAGCCTATATAGGGTTAGGACAAACTCCTCTTTCATCCATATTTTTCTTGCCCAGAACTTCGTCAATAGGGAGTTGCTCTCTATAGCTGACCTTATTGGATATAACAAGCTGAAATGAAGACAATGATACAACAACAACAACAAGCCTTTACCCCACATTTTGGGTCAGATCCTATTCTTCCATTTAATTTTGCCAAGGGCTATCTCCTCCATTAAGTTAATCATTATCATCATAATTGCTTCAAACCAAGTTCTCGCAGACCTACAGATAGTCCTCCTTACTCTTTTGATTATAACCTTATTGCTTCTCCTAATTGATGCCTTGGGCGGTCTCGTTGTATGTAGCCAATCCAACTCTGTCGATTCTCTCCCACTTTAGCCTCATTAGGAGCAAACCTCTAACTACCTATAAGTCCAATCATTTCAAAGTGTGAAATCCAGGCGATAATGACAATGTTAATATAAATATGAAGACAGGAAAGCTTTGATAGTTTCAGCATCCACTATTTAGAAAGGTATCTAAAGTACAAATGTTACAAGCCAGACTAAATAATCCAAGCAGTTTTCTCCGAAGTAGATAGTCTTATACAAAAAGCATGCTGGTCGCTACGATTGCTAGGTAAGCTTAGAGAACCAGAAACAGCTAATTGTTCAACATGAGGATATATGTCACTCAGTATATGATAATTATGACTAACCATGATCGTTCCAGCTGCTGATGCGGCCCTTGCAGTTGCATACTCTCCTGCGGAATCAATTGATATTGTAAGTGAACTCTCTCTTATTAACCATTACAAGAAAAGTACTAACTCAGATGTAAGATAATGCTTTACTTGTAAAGTAGACCAAGATTAAGATCCAAAAAGTAAACAGACTTTTAAGCACATAAACCACACTCTGAACCTTAGGAAGTTATAAATTTAACAATCAAGACACAAAATTCTCACATACCAATTACGGCATCATATCTGAAAACATGTTATTGCTTGGTTCTAACATCTAGTTCAAATGGTAAAGTACATGCTAAGGGGATATAAATTACCTTCAGGGTGAGCCATTTTTTGCATGGCAGTTGGAGCAATCATGATGGGCATAGATAAGTTGAAACCCAGAACAGTTGTGGTCATATCAATCCTCGACACATCAATCAGTATACGGGGACGAAACCTAGAAGAAAACAGAATGATCAGTTTGAATGAGTTGAAGTGAACTTAGGCTGAAGAAATGCCTACTGAAAAGTCCATATCATTAACACTTTGTATCAGAATTAAAAATAAAATAAAGAGAAATATCTATAATTAGAGATGTGTTTACAAATTTCATATCCTTTAATTTTCAAAAATAAAACTTTCATTCGGATTCATCTAGTCATGTTTAACATGGATCTTTATTTTATGTTTTTAAACATGATATTGATAATGTAGCTTTATCAAACAATTATAATTGACCATTCTTCATAACAAATACAGAACCTTTTTCACTTCTATTGAGCAATGACCGATATTAAGAATGACCCTACATGATTGTCTAATCTTCTAAAGAGCAGAAGTAAAAATCGACAGAGACCCAATATTATTTTAAAAGCACATAACTTACTGATACATTTTCCTTATTTTCCTTTAAAGCTAATTTATGAATGTTCTAAAAGCAAAGTAGTTACAAAAGCAATAAAATAGGAACAATTTTTTCTTCTC